GTCCAACATTTGTTCAATATCATTACCGGAACAAAAGAACGTTGTATCAAAAGCAAATAGAACACACCCAAAAAAGATCTGATACATTTACCAAATCATTCACATACAAAATAAATAACTTAGGTCCGAGAATGGAACCCTGAGGCACTCCACATGAGATGATACAAAACTTACATCTTACATTATTTATTTCTACAAATTGTTTTCTATTTTCCAAATAACTAGATACCCACTGTACTGCAGGTCCTCTAATACCATGTTTATTTAACTTTTCAAAAAGAATACTATGGTTAATAGTATCAAACGCTTTTTTTAAATCAACAAAAATATATATTATGGATTCTTAAACAATATAAGATACATCTGTGGATTATACAAAATATGTTCTTTAGATTTAATACCCAAAATCATTTTCAGATAATGCAATTTCACCTGGYCAGTTCTGTCTGTTCTGAGCTCCCTTTTAGAACAAGTTGTTTAGGCAAATAAGTTGTTGCTGGCAACACCCTCTCAACATTTTGTTTACGTTAGCTCCTCCCAACACAGAGTTTATGTTAAAACTTTCGATATGTGAAAATGGCTGCCACAAGTAGATGCACAATGTTACAACAGTAGTGGACCAGCTGTGCGGCCACCTCAGTTGAGGGCTTGGTAGGGACAGACTGGAGCGTCCGATCGAAGTCAGACGTCTTGGTACCGGGGAGGCCAACACACGTCTGTCACCACCTCCCAAAGCTGACGAAGACGAACCAAGGGGCAGCCAAGCAGCCTGCAGGCTCCCTTGTTATGAGACGAGCACTGTGGGGCGGGGGTCTCCAGTCCTCCAGCACAATTTCTCTCCGCCAGATCGTTTGATGACGACGCGTTGCATATCATGCGGCCACATCTGGGGAGATCTACAGACTAGTGCCTGGAGAAGCCAAAGCGAATCTGTCGCAGCTTCCCCAGGCCTGCGTTGTGGAAGGGGAAAGGTGAAGCTGCTCGACTCCTCGTTCAATGATCACAGCAGGGCGTTCAACAATAAATTGCGCTAAATGACAAATCATGTTCATGTCAAACAGCAATACTAAACACACAACACATCACTTACATCCCCATCATCTGCAGATTTGTGACAAACATAGGGACAGAAGTTTCCTTCAGCTGAAAGTCCTTGGGTAAATCCTGCTGTGGGCTCGTAGAAGTTTTCAAATTATTTGCACAAACTACAAGTTTCTTTGGCAAAATTGCTAGAACATTGCCATCAAAAACAAAAATAAAATTAAGCCATGCATCTGTTCTCCAAGACTGTTGTAAAAACAGCAGAACTAATGTGTTCGTCCTGTGAAGAAGTGGGCAGAGTTTCCGTTTAGGTGAGGGGCTGGGCTTGCTTTAACACTGCTAAGTTATCCGGATTGTGACAAAACAACGCATCGCMTATTTATACAAAGCTCCTCCCCGGAGCTCAGTCCTCAGCCGAGCTCTCGCACCGCGCAGCACCCCTCCACCGAAGCATTGTTGTAAATAYGTGCTGAAGYGGGAGTGTTAGAAATAGGAGGTTCTTAAAGAGACAGAGGTCAATTTTAAGGTGTTTAACTACGATATGGTGCCAAGTTATATTTCGTTTTGGTACATACAACATTTTCATAACTGAAGGTAACATAGTTACTTGATTGTGGTATAAAATTGACCTATGTGCCTGGAAAATACATCCCTCCCCCAAATTACTTGATTTTCTGCAGTTAGGCAATATAAATGCTAATGTGTTCCTAATTTAAACAGATTTAAAACATGGCACAGTACA